TCTAAACTGTGCTCATATTAACCATTAACCAGTTTTAAATGATGAGATCAGCATATGTGCGCGCAATCCTCACGAGTCGAAGCTCAGACTGCTTCAAATATTTTTCTGCTCTTGGCTCTGTTTGTATTAAAGAGAGAGAATATTTCCAATAGGACCATCTCAGGCAAACAGCTCTGGCTGACAACCTGCACTCAAAAACCTTCTGTTTATGAGGGGCATGAGGGATGAGCTGCTCCCAGTCCCCACCCGAGACAAATACTGATCATTTCACAGTGCGACTCATGAAAAGCTGCTCTAGCAGAGTCCAAGAATGAATATAAAGATTGAAATGAGAATAACAGATCCCCTTTAAAGTTTGTCGGTAAATTCCTGTCCTGCTTAGAGATGAGTGAGAAGATCAATAACGCTCTCTTACAACAGTAAATATGAAGCTTTAGCCAGCATGCCATTAGCTTAACAGTCTGCATGGTGGCACTGCCCAGAGTGATCCTTAAGGTTGTGTGCTTAAACAGTTTCCTGGCCTCAGATCAAAGAAAGCTGGTGCAAGAGAATAAATAACAATATCTTCCCCAGATGTTAAACTTATTAACAACTTATTAACATCAATGCCATATTCTTACAATCCAACACCAATGCGTGACCTAATGTGATCAGCTGAGCCTCATATAAGTATAAGTGAGCATTTAGCAGGGGCTCAGTTGATTGGATGCACGCCTTCTGTACGTTACCACAAAGATGTGCACGTTTGTAACAATCACTCTCACATACGCTGTTTCATGGCACTGCAGCTACACCTGACATGTCAGAGCACTGACTGTGCATGAAAGCTGAACTTGGCTTGAGAAGTCAGCATTGTGTAATTAGCTAAAGGATCAAGCAGCAGCAAACATTTTTGCTTTTAAAGCCTAAAAAAACTGTGACAAATGAGTCCAAGTGTGCTGTGAACCTGCAGCGGTGCCATCCTAATAAAGAGTAATGTTATGTGCTCAGTTGGCTGCGTCTCCCAATCGGCGGGTTGTTCACTTTGTATACATTAGACGTGTCTGTGGCTCTGTGTGCGTGCCCACTTCTTACTGTTGCTTTTTCATTTTCAGTGTTTCTTTTCTTGTATATTCTCACGGGTAATTTGGATCATTGTTTAAAGACTTCATACAGTAACTAAAGAGAAAGTAATAAAGACCACAGTGTGGACGCTGTTACAGCACAGCTTCCCAGTAAGGGTTAGTGGAAGTAGTTCTAACCATCATTTCTGGATATTTTGATTCAAGAAGCTGCTGTTCTTCATAAAGTTGTATTGAGCAGTAGTTCTTCAGATATTATGAAGTTCTTTCGGTTGCTTTTTCACTTATTTTCAGTCCAGTCCTTGTTCCTGAGGATCTTTTTTGACCTTTGAATCATTCAAGCAGAGAAAAGGCACCGAGCTCAAGGACTGATCCAGTGTTTTGTCCTCACATAAGAGACGACTTAGCAAAGAATCAATTTGTTCCAGTTTTTTTTGTTGAATCTACAAAAATGCCTAAGATCACACAGTTTGACAGGGATAATTCCCAAAGAGCTGCTGGCATATCTCGGCATGTGTGGACAGAATTTGAAAGTCATGTCCTTAAAGAGGGGGGGGAGGGGGGATCCAGCAAAGCCCTGACACGGGACCTGAGAGATTATCTAGACTTCCAGCTGATCGTCTACTGTTCACCGAAGCCTCATCAGACATTAATAAAGTGAAACAGGAAGAAAGACTGAGGTATGATCGCAAACACACTGACACTGCAGTGAAATCATGGCTGGATTAGAACCCACAGTGGAAGCCCACAGATTGGCCTCCCCATCCAGCCAGAGACCAGAACCAAAGGCAGAAACATCCAAAGAAGAGCTTTGAATGTCCTTCAAGAAGCCTGGAGAACGATTCCTGAAGATCCTCACGGAGCTGCTTAGACAGGATAAAGCTGCTCACACCAAACATCGACTATAGTTGGATTTATGTGTATGTGTGTTTCAGTAAATCCCTGCACACGTTTTTACTGTACCACATAAAGATTATGGGTTAACTTCCCCTAATTTTTTTATTATTTAATAACCATGCTTTGATATCCTGAATGTGCCAGTTAAAAATGCCCCCCCCCC